ATCTCAAACTTAACATTCAAAACTGAATTACTGATCTTATCACTACCTAATCTGCTCTACCCAGGCATCATATATGTAACAGAAATCTTGGAATAAGTTCTAACATCTCCCTATCCTTCACTTCCACCACTTGTGTGTCAGTTTGTCACAGTGTGGTGGCTTGTGTGTTGCTGTGACGCTGGAACCTATGCCACTGGTATTGCAAATACCAGCAGGGTCACCCATGGGGGACAGGTCTCACAGGAGCTTCCAGACTAAGACAGACTTGGAAGAAGGAAGGGACCATCCACTTCTCAAAAATTGGCCAGTGAAAATCTTATGAATAGTAGTGAAACACTGTTTGATATATTACTGGAAAACTTTATGAATAGCCCAGAAACATTGTCCAATATAGTTCTGGAAGATGAGCCCCTCAGGCCAGAAGGCACTCAAAATACGACTAGGGAAGAGCTGCCTCCTCAGAGTAGAGCGAAACTTAATGACGTGGATGGAATAAAGCTTTCCAGACCTCCATTTGCTGATGTGGCATGACTCAAAAATGGGAAGAAACAGCTACAAACATCCATTAATAATCAGAACACAAAATGTATAAAGTATGAATCCAGTAAAATTGGAAGTTGTCAAAAATGAAATGGTCGATATCCTAGGCATTACTGAGCTAAAATGGACTGTTTTGGCCATTTTGAATCAGATAACCATATGATCTACTATGCAGGAAATGACAAATTGAAGAGGAATGTCATAGCATTCATTGTTACAAAGACTATTTCAAGATCTATCCTGAAGTACAATGCTATCAGTGATAGGATAATATCCATACGCCTACAAGGAAGACTGGTTAATAAGACTATTATTCAAATTTACGCAGCAAACACCAAAGCAAAAGATAAGGAAACTGAAGTTTTTATCACCTTCTGTAGTTTGAAATTGACCAAAGAGGCAATCAAGATGTGTTGATTATCACTGGTGATGGAATGCAGAAGTTGGAAACAAAGAATTATTCACTGGTAGTTGGAAAATATGGCATTGGTGATTGAAATAATGCTGGCGGATCACGACAGATTTTTGCAAGACCAATAACTTATTCATTGCAAATACTTTTTTCAACAATACAAATGACGGCTATACATGTGGACTTCACCAGATGGAGTACACAGGAATCAGGTCAACTACATTTTGGAAAGAGGCAATGGAGAAGTTCAGTATCTTCAGCCAAAACATGGCCAGGAGCTGACTGTGGAACAGACCATCACTTCTTCATATGCAAGTTCAAGTTGAAGCTGAAGACAATTAAAACAAGTCCATGAGAGCCAACATATGACCTTGATTATATCCCTCCTGAATTTAGAGACCATCTAAAGAACAGATTTTATGCATTGAACACCAATGACTGAAAACCAGAGGAATTGTGGGATGACATCAACAACATGATCCATGAAGAAAGCAAAAGGTCATTAAAAGACAGGAAAGGAAAAAAAGACCAAACTGGATGTCAGAAGAGACTCCGAAACTTGCCCTTGAATGGAGAGTAGCTAAAGCAAATGGAAGAAATGACAAGATAAAAGAGCTGAACATAAGATTTCAAACAGTAGCTTGAGAAAACAAAGTCAATTATTGTAATGAAATGTGCATAGACCTGAAGTTAGAAAACCAAAAAGCAAGAACATATTCGCCATTTCTCAAGCTGAAGGAACTGAAAAAAATTCAAGCCTCGAGTTGTAATACTGAAAGATTCTATGGGCAAAATACTGAATGATACAGGAAGCATCAAAAGAAGATGGAAGGAATTCACCAATTCCTGGTACAATTTGGTCATTGTACTAAAAATAATTGGTTGATGTTCACATATTTGAGGTGATATATGATCAAAAACCAATGGTACTGAAGGAAGAAGTCAAAGCTGCACTGAAGGAATTGGTGAAAAAGAAGGCTCCTAGAATTGACAGAATACCCACTGAGATGTTTCAACAAACTGATGCCTCAGTGGAGGCACTTACTTGTCTATGCCAACAAATTTGGATGATAGCTACCTGGCCAACTGACTGGAAAAGATCCATATTTGTACCCATTCCAAAGAAAGGTGATCCCATAGAATGTGGAAACTATCAAATATATCATTAATATCACATCCAAGCTTAAGATAATTAAAAAATGGATACAGCAGTATATTGACAGAGAACTTCCAGAAATGCAATCTGGATTCAGAAGAGGACATGGACCAAGGGAAATCATTGCTGATGTCAGACAGATCTTGGCTGAAAGCAAAGAATACCAGAAAGATGTTTATCTGTGTGTTACTAACTATGCAAAAGCACTCAATTGTGTGGGTCATAAGAAATTATGGATAACATTGACAAGAATGGGAATTCCAGGACACTTGATTCTGCTCATCAGGAACCTGTACATAAACAAGGAGGGTGCTGTTCAAACAGAACAAGGGATACTGCATGGTTTAAAATCAAGAATGTAGTGTGTCAGGGTTCACCATATTTATTTAATCTGTATGCAGAACAAATAATCCGAGATGCTGAAGTATATGAAGAAGAATGTAGCATCAGGATTGGAGGAAGACTCATTAACAACTTGCAATACACAGATGACACAACTTTGCTTGCTGAAAGTGAGGATGACTTGAAGCACTTACTGATGGAGATTAAAGACTTCAGTCTGCAGTATGTATTACATCTCAATAGAAAAAGATGAAAATCCTCACAACTGGACCAATAAGCAGAATTACAATGTATAGAGAAATGAAGCTGTAAAAGACTTTGTATTACTTGGTTCTACAATTAACACCAATGGAAGCAGCAGTAAAGACATCAGATGATGTATTGAATAGGACAAGTCTGCTGCACAAGATCTCTTTAAAGTGCTGAAGAACAAAGATGTCTTCTTGAAGACTAAGGTGCACCTAATGTAAGCTCTGTTATGTTCAACTGCCTCATATGCATGTGAGAGCTGGACAATGAATAAAGAAGACTGAAGAAGAGCTGATGCCTTTGAGTTGTGGTGCTGGTGAAGAATATTGAAAGTAACATGGACTGCCAAAAGAACAAACAAATCTGTCCTGGAGGAAGTGCAGTCAGAATTGCTCCCTGGAAGCGAGAATGGCCAGATTTCATCTCACCTACTTTGGTCATGTCATCAGAAGGGACCATTCCCTGTAGAAGGATATCATGCTTGGTAAAGTGGAGGGCCAGCAATGAAGGGGAAGACCCTCAATGAGATAGACTGACACAGTAACTGCAATGATGGTCTCAGATATAGCTAGGATTGTGAGGCTAGCACAAGACCGGACAGTGTTTTCTTCTGCTGTACATAAGGTCTCTATGAGTCGGAGCCAACTCGATGGCACCGAACAACAACATCATCTCTCGTTTACCACTAAGTATTCCCTACAAAATACATTTAACTTCTTTACATCTCTACTGCCATCAGTTCTGTCCATGTCAACATCTTCTCTTGTCTTGAGTAGTGTAAAAGCCTCCTAATCAGTCTTATTGCTTCTCCTCTTCCCTTTTAATTCATTCTTCCCAGAGTACTCAGAGTCAACATTTAAAAATACAAATCAGATCACATCTCTTCCTTGTTTTAACCTTACTTCTCACTGTTGTTGGAATAAATCCCAAACTCTTTCACATTAAATGGATCTCTGAATCCAAACCTAAAGAGTAGGAATCTCCTATTTAAAGACTTCTTGAATTTTCTTCTCCTATTTAAAGACTTCTTGAAGTTTCTTAGCCTGAGAGGATTCAACAATTTTGACTTCCTATTTTCTTTGTTCCATCACCTTACTAAGGTATTCAGTAACTTCTTCACAAATTATTATAATTTCCTTTAACTACAATGCCTATATCACAAAATTGTCATCATTATACTCTTCAGACACTGGGCATTTCTATCTAGTTCTATAGCTAGATCTGTTCTTTCAGCAACTGTCTTTTCCAAATGAACAAGTCCATTAATGGTTTGGATGCCTCTTAGTCTAACTTGCTATAAAACAAGAATTCTCACAGCAAAGTCACAATATGGCAGGTTAGTCTGGGCTTTGCCACTAGTGATACTGGGCAAAAATTCTAAGTACTGTAAGACACAGATTCTAGGACACAGCTTCTTTTTCTGTCAAACAAGGGGGAAAGTTTGTATGACTCTGAAGGTCTCTTCCACTTCTGGTGGGCACAGGTCCTATGATCTAATATCATATTTTTTTTCTAATATCACATTTTACAGAGAGGAAATGCAGTAGTTATTACTCAAATCCCAAGACAAGTTATAGAGAAGGCAGTATCTTATTATCAGGCTTAAGGAGGACTAAAATTTCATCAAAGAGGAAAAGAATTCAGACTTCCAGACACAATCCAAGCCCATATGTCATTCTGCTATGGCCATGGATTCACTTTGGCAAGATTTAGTACTGTCTCCAACTCCCCAGTGAACACAAACAACCTCAAGAATTGAAAATACAGGAAATAGAACTCCTACTATTATTATTCAGAAGGAAGACTAGGCAATCTATTTCTGTAGAGACTATTATTACTATACAGTAACATCAATTGAAGGGTTTTGGACTATACTGAGTAATAACCAAAAGCTAACTGTAATAATCAAATATGAATGGGAAAATGGGAGGAAAAAGAAATAAGGCAAAGAGGGTCCCAAAGCCTTCTTCCCAAAAGATCTAACACCCCCTTGCCTCACTCTCTACCTGCCCTTTTTCATTTTCATAGTAATGCTAAAAGAAGAATCACTAAATTAAGTTACTAGTTTGATATGATGTTTTAATAGGCTTTAACTTTAACTACAGTTGATTCTAAATCTTAGTAAATTAACACTAGGAAAAAAAAAATTCCTCTTTTCCTAATAATTTAGAACTACCTTCCCATAAACTGTACAACCTTTGAAAATGGGAATCTACTCTCAATAATAATTACTATGTCAGGTTTGAGTACTGCTCTCTGTATTGATGGATTTCATAAATTAAATGATCCACATTGCTTTACCTGATACATTCCAACTCCGATGTGCTTCGGCTCAATTTTCACTAGCTCAGCTAATGGATCTTGTACACGCCTTGCTATGGAAACTGAAAAAACAGAACCAGAAAACAAGTTTAATGTAAAAAGCAGTACTTGGTAATTACTTATAACACAAGCATTTATTAGTCCTTTCTCTCATCTCTCCTCCAAAAAAAGAAAAAAATTAAGTTTCAAAGGTCTCTTTTTTTCACATAAAAACTGAATATAAATTTTCACAATTACATTACCAGAACTCCTGGGAATTTCCCAGCACAAATAGATTGAAGGCTTATAAATTTGGAAAAACAAATAAAAACATTTAGTTGCTAGACTTATGTATTTACCTGTTCATTCTTTAAATACAACATAGTTAAGTACACCTCCTACTTTAAAAAGAAAGTAGATATTTTGTTTTACTTTAAATATGACATACATTTGTATATCATATGCTTATGAGGGCTGGATCCTGATAATAAAAAATGAATGATGAAAATATTGCTTAATGCAACCACAGACAGATTCACTTGGATAGTGGATACATTTGTATGGCCTTGAATATGGTTACAAGATTATCTTGGGAACCGATCTCCTTGAGTCCCAACTGGTGGGCTCCTAACACACAGTGTCTCATCACATCCCTTTCTTGATCGTTACAATCCATGTTCAAGAAACTAGACAGCTATCTTCAAACATCCCTCTATTTATCTCATGATTTTAGTTGGTCATCATTTATTTTCACCAATATTTTTCCAAATGTTAGCAAAGCTTCATATCTAGTTTACAGGATAGATTTAGCTAGAGAAAATAAGTTTATTTTTAATCTTCAGTGCACTTCTCAAGGCAGCCCTTTGTTTTTCCAAGTCACCCCTTTGTTTTTCCAAGTCACATAGTTACATTAAGTCCTTATATAAGAGCAGCTTCCATTTACTAAGCACATGAAAGCCACTCAGTGTCACCTACTCACAAAGGTTGATGGAATGTAAATTAATAAAGTGAAAACATTAAGACCATCAAAGGAAACCCCATGCCTGTTTTTGTGTTAAACCGTTCAAGGTCAGCAACAGAAGCCACTTCTCGAAAATGACTATCAGATTCTCTAGTCACTGATTTGTATCACCTCTCTCATCACAGACAAGATCTACTGTGAACATCAAGTTCACTGCACAGTCCAAGTCTTTTTCATATACTTTATTATTGCTTCTAACACACGGCGACAATGGCAGCTCACAAAGCAGGCTTAGAGAGCAATAAGCAGTACACAATCTGTTTAGATCTCTCACAGTAGCAATGGGGATTTTCATATGTATCATTGTAGTCAAAACTCAAAAAACATTATTTAGTGTAAACATAATAGGCTATAGGAGAAATGTTTTCCTTTAAATAGCCACACTTATGATTACTGATTGAAATTACAACACCAGCAGAGAAATGCTTGATGCTCTCCAAAGCAACTATTTTCATCCTAGGTTTTAAACATATAATACAGTAAGAATGATTTTCAAATATACACATATATTGCCAAAATACCTTTCTTTAAGAAAAAACAATCCACAATAGTAAACCAAGCTAAGAACATAGGTATCAGAACACTTACTGTGTAGGAAGGCAGTATTAGAAATTCATTAAAAGGTTATCAATAATGATTAAATTCCTCAAACACATTCCTTCAGGAAAACTCAGATTATAAAAATCTAAACTTAGAAATTGGTTAGAGTAGTTATATAATTTGATAAATGCAGGCAGATTTCCAAATTTATGAATTTCTAAAATATAAAAAGAATTTTGAAACTATTCTACCTAGTTACCTTCTAGCTGGTTCAATGCTAGTGTCTCCTTTGTCCATCCTAATGTTACTAAATGCAGCAGAATAGATTGGAAATGATGGTTTCTAGACATACAAATTTTACAATATGACCTAAGAGCCTCTGGAGTTACAGTGCCCCAAAAACATCAGCAATAGATTTTAATGTTTCTAGAATTAGTATTTCCCTGTCAAATGCTGTTCCACTCTGGATAGCGGGAATAATCAAGCATGGAAGGGATGGGAGGAAAGGAGGGGAGAAGAACATTTTTTAACATAGATTTTATTTTCAAAAGTAGCATTCCCAGAATTGAGAGATGATGTTATTTAACGCAGAAAAGACTTGTTTAGTAGCCAGTAATAATGCAACAATGCTGACTTTAGGTTGAGAGTGATCAGGCAGACAATAGATTTCTGAAAGTAAAAAACAGCTGATGTAAAGGGACTTTTAATAGATCGCTGATATAGAAAATGAAAAAAGAGGAAATTTGGGGAACGTTTATATTCTGGGACAAATAGGAGAAAGAGGAAAGAGTGAAAAAGGCAGAGAAAGAATGGTGAGGAGAACATGTAGCTACAGAAGTCAGAAGGATTTCTAAGAGAGTTATGCTCCTAAATGTCCACTCCTAGGTGTGTGTGTGTATATATATATGTATATGTGTATGTGTACATGTGTATGTATATGTATGTGAATATATATAGATATACATTCATACATACATGTATATACATAAACCAAAACTCAACTCACTGCCATCCAGTAGATTCCAACACATAGCGACCCCCTTTGGGTTCCCAAGGTGGTAAATCTTTACGGAAGTAGATTGCCCAGTATTCCTTCTGCAGAGTGGCTGAGGGGTTTGAACCGCCAACTTTCTGGTTAGCAGTCAAATGACTCAGGCACTACACCACCAGAGCTCCTATACACACACACATACACATTTTATACACAAACACACACACACATATATAAGGAGCTTGTGTGTACAGAAGCTCTGGTAGCATAGTGCCTAAAGCATTTGACTGCTAACCAAAGGCTGGTGGTTCAAACCCACTAGCCACTCCTTGGAAGGAAGAATGGGCAATTTACTTCCATAGAGATACTGCCTCAGAAACCCAAGAAGGGGTCACTATGAGTTGGGACCAACTTGAGGCAGTGAGTTTGGTTTTTTGGTGTGTGTGTGTGTGT